GAAAAGGGTCAGCTATGGATTGGCAGCAGGGTTCAGGGCAGAGGCGGAGCTAAAGGGACAGCGATGGATTGGCAGCAGGGTTCAGGGCAGAGGCGGAGCTAAAGGGACAGCGATGGATTGGCAGCAGGGTTCAGGGCAGAGGCGGAGCTAAAGGGACAGCGATGGATTGGCAGCAGGGTTCAGGGCAGAGGCGGAGCTAAAGTCAGGCACTGCCATGGGCTATGAGTGCTACACTTCTTTGGGGTGTATCAAGCTGTGTAATTAGGTGTAATTACCAGCTGTGTAATTAGGTGTAATTGCTCTCAATTAAGAGATGTGTAAATACATGTCAATACATTAGCTGTGTCATGTTTTATATAGAGTCATTTTGAAATTAGTAGGTTATTGACAGTTTTGATTAATGAATTTATGGCCTGTAGCAGCAACTGAAGGGGTGGTGTGATTAAAGGGGCTGTTTTACAGGCAAAATAAACCAGGAGAACAACCTGGCAAACAGAAAATATGAAATTAAATTGAAATTAATTCTTCAAGAAAAAAATGGCAAGTGGGCCACAGTCAATCAGCATATAGCTCAAGAAAATCAAAGCAGTCTCCCATTCAGTCTGATGTACCTGATTTCATTTCAGCATTTCATTTAATTGCATTTCATCATTCATCACTCCTCTTTTCCCCGCCCATAATAAAATGCATAATAACCACATATTGCATCAGTAATAACCGTGTCACCTACTGCAGGTTTGAAAATGTGACCATGGTGTGTAAGAAAACATGGACGGTGGCCCAAGATTTTAGATGTGACTAGAGGAACCGCATGCAGCACGTTTATGCTGGAAAAATACCTCCAATTAGTCTTCACTGTAAAGGGCAGAAACCTGATACAATTAACATTCGAAGAAGGGAATGGAAAGTCAATGAAAAAGATTTCTTTGTGGACCAGAAATGTAAGAAGAACCAGTTTATGATGATAGTTTGTGGACAGTGGGCTGTAGGTGACTGCCAAGCTTGGTGTATTATTATTATTATTATTATTATTATTATTGTTGTTGTTGTTTGGGGGCCCCCTGTAGGCCACCAACAGTCACTACACTAGGGAGAGAGGGGTCCCACCAGGGGCGGATTAAGGTGTACAGAGGCCCCTAGGCTACAGTAGTCTGTGGGCCCCCCAACCCCGCCCCCCTCCGCGCCAATGGGGGCCCCCTTGCAGGCTGGCACACGTGGGGCCCCTAGGCTTAAGCCATATCTAGCCTGTGCGTTAATCCGCCCCTGGGTCCCACAGTGATGTTTTGAATGGGGCCCCATAAATGAAAAACCCGGCCCTGTTGAGCAGCGATTGACTAGGCCCCCGCCTGGGGGGGGGGGGGGGGTCGCTGCCGTGTCACACGCACATGCTCAGGCTGCCTCTTGTACCGCTGATACGATTCAAAGGGGCCGCTTCCTAACCACTCGCCAGCAGCTGCGTCTAGCTGATGGCTTTGTTTTCATTTTCAGATTAAATATTTATGGCGACTGTTTCCGCTCAATGCCAGCCTTACACTCAATTTCCCACGGCTGCCTTGTGAATTCTGCACATCCCCTCCCAGGCCTTCAAGTAAATCTCCCCCATATACTTTTCCTCAAAATTGAATTATTAAAACGAAATACCTCTTTGGGTTTTTTTTTTCCAGATTCCCCACCCCAGCTTCAGACTTGTAATATACGGGCCTTGAAATGAATTGAATGATGTACCTTCAACAGCGATTAGGTTAGTTGGGTTAAATTCTATCCAGACCTCTCGGTCGGAGAGTATTCACCCGAAATGTTCAGGTACCAAATGCCACATTCAGGGTAGCGTGTGTGGAGATTGACGCGCTGCTCAGGATGACGGACAGGCCACATTGTTGCAGCAGCATTAGACTTAGATTAGCATTAGAATTTAACTCCGTCTCCTAATTTGACATTTACCTGAATCTGTGTTTCCTGATTCGGTCCTCAGGGAACCACAGCTGGTCAACGTTTTTGATCCCGGCCAGACAGTACTCAACACTGACCTAAATTGTCAGTGAAATCATACATTCCTCAGAATCGCAGTCTAATTTGCAGGAAGGCTTTTTACATTTCTTGTTTATATGTATTTATTGATATTTAGGAGTGAGTTTTTCATCAGGTTGAGTTGCGAGGACGGCTGGCCAAGGGCAGCACCGAATTCATGTGCTATTAATACCCGCCGTCTGGTGAGTTACGAGCCACACGCCATGTCTGTGTGTTTTCAGTTGTGTGTGATCCTGGAGCCCATGCAGGAGCTGATGTCCAGGCACAAAACCTACAACCTCAGCCCCCGGGACTGCCTGAAGACCTGCCTGTTCCAGAAGTGGCAAAGGATGGTGGCTCCACCAGGTATTTCAGGGCCCAGTGATCCCAGAGACCCTCTTCTGCTCATGGCGGTGTATGGTTGTATGCTGGTGTATGTTACTGTGCGTTAGCATATGCTCGCTTGTGTTAGCGTATGTGAGCATGTGGTAGTGTGTATTAGCATGTGCTCGCTTGTGTTAGCGTATGTGAGCATGTGGTAGTGTGTATTAGCATGTGTTAGCTTATGTTAGCGTATGTGAGCATGTGGTAGTGTGTATTAGCATGTGTTAGCGTATGTGCGCATGTGCTAGTGTGTATTAGCTTGTGTTAGCGTATGTGAGCATGTGGTAGTGTGTATTAGCATGTGTTAGCATGTGTTAGCTTATGTTAGCGTATGTGAGCATGTGCTAGTGTGTATTAGCATTAGTTAGCTTATGTTAGCGTATGTGAGCATGTGCTAGTGTGTATTAGCATGTGTTAGCTTGTGTTAGTGTATGTGAGCAAGTGGTAGTGTGTATTAGCATGTATTCGCTTGTGTTAGCGTATGTGCGCATGTGCTAGTGTGTATTAGCATGTGTTAGCTTGTGTTAGCGTATGTGCGCATGTGCTAGTGTGTATTAGCATGTGTTTGCTTGTGTTAGCGTATGTGCGCATGTGCTAGTGTGTATTAGCATGTGTTAGCTTATGCTACTGCATATTAGCATGTGTGGGCTCTCCCGGCACTGTGCTGCTATGGTGACCACCTAATCCATGCCAAAATGAATACTTTGAGCTAGGACAGGATTTGTAAACCACCATTTCAATCAAAAAGACCTGAATTTCACTTAAGCGCTGAGTTCTTGCAGCATTCTGATTGGTCAGTCTCCTATAATCATGCATGTGTCACTAATGTTAATGTGAAACAGCTGGACGAGTCTTTCAATCACAAACCAGTCAAAGCTAGTACAGTAGCTCAAAGTATCCCATCAGACATGGATTAGGTGGCCACCCCTAAGTTCTGCCATGTTCAACACTTCTGCTGCATGTTGTAACGTCAGCACAGGGATGCCTGGCCTTCTAAGCGCTATGATATATATATATATATATACTCTCGACAAAAGCTCATATACATACTCATTTGTTCTGCATGTGATTTTAACTTTATTGTATTTTTTTATTGTATATATATATATATATATATATATATATATATATATATACATATATACATATATATACAATAAAAAAATACAATAAAGTTAAAATCACATGCAGAACAAATGAGTCCCATTTAAAAGTAAAACTTACTGTTTAAGATGAGTAATGTACTGACGTCACACGTAAGCAGCATCCGGCGTACGTCCAAAGAAGCCCCGCCCACCTGTACATGTTAGAATAAATGGTAACTGCACCCAGATGGGTGGAGGAAGCTTATAAATCACTGTGCATCTAGCATATGCCCGAGGTTACATTTCACCGCATACGTCTGTCAAATAAAGCGTATATCTGTTTGTTTATTAGATAAATAATAGCATACAGAACGAGGGTATGAAATACTGCTTGTTTCATGTGTTTGGCATGCAGGCCGGTGTAGCATGGAAATCCAGGTTCGAAACCAAAACCGTTTGAAAACTTCATGAAACAGCCGCTCAAAATCAGATTACGAAGTCAGTATTTCGTAAGTGATGTGGATTCGGGAGCGATGTTTCTGTGCCAACGAAGCGCTCTTCGTCGCGTGGGAGTTTCAGCGTACCGTTCTCACTGAAGGTTATTTCTCATCCCGGCGCCGGGGAGATTTTTGAGTGCCGGGGCACATAATTAATAATTAAAGACTTAGTCTCGACAAGACAATGCATCTTGTTCCGCTGCACTGTCTATTTTTGTATGTCTATTTTGTACAATATCAGTTAAAAGTCAAGAGGCTTGATAGGATAAATAAAAAGGACAAACATCAAAATTACCTCCAGTACAAAGGATGATCTAGTGGCTATAAAATTGCATTGTGGGTTCAGGCTCTTCTTAATGGATCATCTTTGATCATTTTTAAGCAGAATATTTTCCCTGTGATCACGTGACCTTATTCCGAATGAAAACAATGTTCACCATGCCAGCTTGGTCGCGAGCCTATATCCAGTATAGGTTTACATTAACGCTGTGATCAAGCAGGCAGTGCAATTTACGCCAATCACTGCCTATCGCACACATCAGATTGGATGGGCCAGTAAATTTTAAATTAAGCATCGTCGTTCGTGTTCACTAGTTTTGCGCTAAGCAGTTGCAGACCCCAGACCTGTTTATATAGGTTAATTCTAGGTTTGGGGCTGGGAAATCTGATCATGGATCAGCATGGGAACTTGCTGGTTTTAAAATGCTTACACTTACATGTCTGCCTCGTGACCCTTTCAAAACATTGGGTCGCAACCCATGGGTTGAGAATCATTGTTTTAGGTTGTAGGGATGTGCACGAATTTTCATTTCACACGGTGATTTGGGAAAAGTCATATATATTCATGAGAGAACCGTTACCTGATTGGCCATTGAATGCCGTAGACAGAGTTCACCGGCCAATCAGGTTGCTTCTGTCATGAATATTAATGAGTTTTCCCAAACCACACAAAAAACAGGTAGCATACGTCGATGGAAGCACATTCGCCGGCCAGTCAGGTAGCTTCACTCATGAATATTAATGAGTTTTCCCAAACTACCCTCTAAAACAGAAATTCAAGCTCGGCAATGAGGAGGCCTGATAAAAGTGCCTCCTTTTTTCAGTCCGGAGTTACAGAGGGGGACCTCTCCTCTCTCCAGTACCCCCCCCCCTCAGAATGTTGCTGCACAGCCCTGTTAGGTTCTGTGTATATAAATTTATATTTGTTCAGTTAAAATGCAGCAATAAAAAGAAAAGAGTTAGAATAAGAGTAAAGAGTAAAAATAAAACATGTTGTTGGTCTTGCAAATAATTGCAATTCATAACGAGATCTACTAGTATTGCAAAACGATGTTGTGAAATACCTTTCTGTAATGTAAGAATTAATATATGGTTATTCATTCATAGTGATTCATATGTATTTTTGTTGCACTTCCTTAAGATAATTTGATGAGTAAATACGGTCCCTTCGGCTCCGATTTCAGCAGGACACCCACAGAACTTCAAAACGGAGATTTTCCCCACAAATAACAAAAAAGGTAAAGTTTCACTCCGCAATCCTCCTATCTGATGGTCACATCATCTCAGACGGGATGACAAACGAAATGCATTTTTGTATCGTAAATGTTCATTGAACCTGAACCCTATAGATCTGTTTCTGACGTGTTCTGTGCAATTTAAGCAAAAAGGAGCACAAACGTTGCTCACAAGTGAAAATGAATGTGGGCTCATCTCGTAGCATGGTGACAATTGTAGGCCTGCATTTAACAAGACATCGATAGCAATGAGGTGTCGCGACTCAGTCTGGCTTAAAGCTGTGATGTTAACAGTTGGTAAATTGTATTTAGGTTGTTAGTTCATCTGTTACTGTGCATTTATGGAACAATTTTTAAATGGAGGGTTTTGTTACAAGTCCATGTCTGGAGAAGTTCTTTTATAATAGTCCAGAATACATAATGCGCAGCCAATCCGTGTTCCGTGTCAGTACGGCCGCTATGTCAGTGACCAGGGGGCACATTTCGTCGCCCGCCTTTTATCCAGCAGCCGAGCCGACGAGACAGACGACGACGAAGCGGCGGAAAAGGAAGAACTCGGCGAGCAACGCCTCCAACAACAGCGCAGGGCACGGTGGCGGCAAGAAGCGCAGCCCGGCGGGCGGATTCAGCCTGTCCAGCCAGGTACCTGTAAGCATCCTCCGCTGTCCGAGCCTCCCGCAGCACGCAGGCACACACACACAAAGGCACAGACACACACACAAACTCACAGACACACACACAAACTCACAGACACACACACAAACTCACAGACA